AAATCAACTTAGATAAAAGACACTATATACACTTATCTCAAGAATGCAAATCTCAGCATAATTGGCTTAGTTTGTTTAGCTTTTGCTTGATATTTTCAATTTAGTTCTAGTCAAGCCAACAAACAAAACTGATCGTAGTTTCTGTGTATAGCACACCCAGCTGATTTAAACAATTTTTGTTACGTATAAATCAGTAAATTTTTATTATGCCGCTTTGTCTTTTTGGAACTTTACAGAGCATACCGTAGTTCATTTTTTCAGTTGGCTCCTATATATATCAACTTTAACAATAAAAAAAAAATAATTTTTTGATATTTGAAAGACTTTTATTAAGTTTAACAAAGCGTATTTGTTAATCTAAAAGTTATTTTTAATTGTTCATAATTCTTACATTAAATAATCATTAACTTAATATAACTATAAATAAGAATATTTTAAACCATTTTCCGAACTTTTCTACAATTTTGTAGTAATCAGAACATATAATTCATTACATCAAAAATAAATTTATATTAACTATTTCATTTAACAATCATAAATTATCGTGTATTGATTTTATTTATTAATTTATACGATTAACTATTTAAAATTGTGTTGTATTATGTATACATATTGATATATTTCACAAGACTCCAAATTCTTTTGAATTAAATTGCATATTCTACTTTTAGTTTTAAGCGTTTATTTTAATGTCATTTAAAATGTAAAATATGTAAAAATCTATATTTTATTAATTCGAATTTGAATTATTTTTTATATTGTAAAAATGTAACTCTTAATAAATTTTCATATTTGAAATGTTTACTTCTATGAAAAACTCTTCTCTTCATAATATATATATATATATGGTATATACTTAATTCTATTTAGTTCGTTGATCATAAAAAAATAATTTCTATATGTTAGGTTTGCAATGTGAACCTTCTGCTAATTTTATTATGTAGTTTTGTTGAACTAATCACGTTTTGATTATGTGCATCTATTTATTAAATTTATTAAACACCGTTGCTATGGACACAAAACTAATACATATTTTTATTTAATTTTAATAATACAATAATATAAATATTTCATAAATAAAATTAAATTGACAAAGGAAAAGCAAAAAATACCTTTATACTAATATGGTGATTTAACATGAACAAAATATAAATAAAAATCCTTTAAAATCTCTAAGTACAAAAAAAGAAGAAAAATTTATAGATTTTGCACTTTTATTACATATTAAAATACAATCACAAATACATTAATTTTTATTAAATTAACACTTTATTTTTTGCAAATACTATCAAGTAATTTACTTAATTGATTATTCTATTTAAAATATAATCTTTTTAACCCTCTTTATATTTACTCTTTTTCATTTTTAAACTGAATATTATATTCTTATCAATCTCTTTAACTGTAATGCTCTTTAAGAATAATTTTAAATTTTAATAATTCTAGTAAAATTTTACAAATATAATAAATATTATTTACATTAATCTAATGAACGCCTTCGTTGTGTGCTGGATATGACCGTACGATCCAATACTTCTGTTGACAGTCGTGCTAATAAAGGCAGCTCACGCATTGATACATTAACCGATGGCAGAGGTTCTAGTTTATTTAGTTTTTTCAAAGGTTGCACACTATGCTCAGGAGTAACCGGCATACTTGTTGCATTTGTGCTGGAAGTAATTTTGATTAATGGTCCTTTATTTTGATTAGTGGGCTTTATTGATTCAGCTCCTAAAGAATCGGGTCTTATATTTTGTTGTTGTTTTTGTATATGTTGTTGATTGTTTGCACATTCTTTCAACAACATTAAATGATCCAATTTATTAACTGTAGCATTTAATTCGTGTTCCCACATATCATTTTGCTCTTGTTGTCCATCGCCACCTTCTATTGGACGTACAGCAAGGATTTTGACCTTTTGACGCAACGCTTCGAGATCACTTTCGTCAACAACTTCCATTAAATCATTGCTATCTATATAATCAGCTTCGTTTTCCTCTCCTTCAGAATCGTCCATAGTAGCGAAAGAATTCATTGCATTATTATCTAAATCACTTGAACGATGCGAGAAATTTCCAAGCGAAACTTGGCTGCTTGCAATAGAAGGATAGTCACATTTTTCTAATTCACGTTTAAAGTCTGGCAAAGGCGGTAATGTAGTTAATGTTGGCGAATTTAATTCAGCACCAACACCGGGTTCACGTGGTCCTGGTGGTGGTGCATTCATATCTGAGAAATCGCCACGCTGACGGTGTATGTCATCACTAATGCGTTCAAGATTACGCAAAGCTGTTGCATACGTAGTTTTAGCCGTTTGCACCTGGGCTTGCAACTCCTGTATGCGGTTCTTTTGTGTTTGTAATTGATCTTGACAGATTTGTTTTTCCTCAAAATATGGACGAGCTTTGTTAATGCTGCGACGAAATCGTTCTTCTAGTTGTTGTACCTAAAATAAATAATTGATTATGTTAATGTTAAGAAGAGGGATAAGATTGATATTGTAATTCGAAATACCTTTTGTTCAGCAGCGTGAAATATTTTTGTTTGCTCTTGGTGTTCTAGATGGCGATCAGCTTTTTGTTTTTCAGTATCAAAAACTTTTTGAGTAGCATGATTAAGCATTTCCTGCCAAGCGTTGTCGAATGGCCATTCATGGGAGTTGGACATAAAACGCTGTTCTGCTAAGGCTACAGTTTCTTTTGCTGCTGTGTGTATTTCTGAAAAAAAAATATTGTATTATTTGTAAAAAATTTATAACAATATTAGTAATAAAAAAGGCATGGCTTAGACTAGGGTTTCTAAATTGCTGCCTGCTTCATTAACACCAACGGTCAACAAAATATTGTATATTAGCGGTTTACTTAGCATTACTCTAACTTAAAATATGACAAGAAATCTCATCTTTTATTATAAGGTAATTTAGTTAACTGGCAGCTCAGCAATCTTGCTGAGAACAAGTCGTCTTCTGTATAAAATATTTGGTTGGAAATCAATCAAGTAGGGTCTTCACTTGTGGTTAACTGATATTTTGTTCCAATACTAAAGTTTTATGCAACCATTCAGTTTTAATTGTAAATTAGCTGATGCCAAAAATCTGATTTAGATAATCGAGTCGATTGTAGATAATTCAGAATAAATATTTGGTTCGTTAAACTACAGTTTTATATAATTTAATATCAAGATCTTAAATTTAGTTTTCAAAATATTCCACATATTATATATGTCGACAAAGCTTAAAGAAAATAGTTGACTTCTCGGAAATTCGTAATTACGTCCTTTATGCTAGTCCAGGATGAGTTTCCTGCTAAAATCTTCTTGATTTTTAGAAAATTTACTATAACTTTGGATTATAGAAAAGTTATTAAGAGTTGTACGTAATAGATTTCAGGCTTCCTTATAAAATTCCTTCCCTACAGTAGTATCAATTAGCACCCACCCACATCAATATTTGCCTTCATTCCAAACAAACGCCATCCTTCTTACATCCTAAATAAACCTATGTATTTGTCTTTATTTTTTTTCCTTTACACGTCCTTTTAAGTTACTATAACAATAATAGTAAATATGCTCCGATTTGAATGGTATGGAGATCATCTTTAGATATGGGTCATATACCCTACTGTCATTCGTATTATTACTTTTCATACCTTATATCTATATCTTTAAAATGATTAAATTTAAATAATTGAAGAATATATACCATTGGCTCGTTGAAATTTTACCGCCGCTTTTTGGCATTCAATTTGTGCTTCACGTGCTTTTTCAACGGACTCATAGTAGGGTCTAGCTTTTTCTATACAATTTCCAAGCTTTTTAGATGATAACTTAAGACGACGTGTAGATTCATTTAAGAGTATTCGAAATGTTGAATTTGCCTCCTAGAGAATATATGTTTCAAAAAATGAATAAATTAAATACAATATATGGTAATATATATTTACCTCTAGCTCAATTTCCAACTTATTGATAAGGTCTGTTGCGCTGTTAAGATTCTCAAGTTCTACCTAAAATTATATGTAATAAAAATTTTTAGTATGGCTTGCCTTTAGTGGTCTCATATATCATTATCATATTGATTTATACTTTTTTTTGATACTTTTTTAAATATTCATGTTTAACAATATACTTTATTGACAATTTACTTTCAAACATAATCATATTTATTGTTTTTAATTATTATAAGTTGTTATATAAACAATAAGTTTATAAGTTTATATATTTTAAAACGTTATTAAACATAATATATTTAAAATATATGTTAATAATATACAAATATTTCTTTTCAGTCTTAAAATGGCGGTAAAACCAAATAGGGCGGCGAATGAAAAAAAATATGATTTGGAAAAAATTCCGGTAAGTTTAAAAATAATAAATAAAATAAACATTTTTTTTTTTAATTTAGAACTTTATTTATTTAATGAATTTTATTTTATAAAAAGGCACGAGTAGATCGAGTTAAAGTTAGCGGACTTTTACGCACACATAATGACTATGTTATGAAAGCCGCCGAAGGCCTTTTCAGCGCTAAAAACTTTCAAGATGTTATGCTGGAGTCCATGAAGTAAGTAATAAACTGTATAACATTGAAAAAATAATTTTTATATAAACTATTTATTGATAACATATATAATGCAGTGCAAAATCCTATCTGCATGAGCTGGGCATCTTCAAAGACATATATGTGCGTGTCGATATAAGTCGTGGTGAAAATCCTTCCCCAAACGGTTATGAAGTTACTTTTACTGGCAATGAACTATCAAGAGTAGTGGGAACATTTGGCACGGAAGTGGGTCAAAACGAAGGTACATTGCGATCAGAATTAACATTTCCAAATATATTTGGACGTGGCGAAAGTGTTTCATTACAAGGTTCATACAGTAGTACCCGAGCAAATGATGTGACTTTAAAGTTTTGGAAATCATTTTTTCACACAAAATTCATAAAAAATCGACCAGAGTAAGTTTAAATTATATGCATTTTCAATGTTAATATTTTTTGCCGAGACTGATACGATGTCTTTATGACGAAAAGAAACTATTTAAAAGTTAGACGGATTCGTATAGCAAAAAAAGACAAGAACAAAATTGTCTTTAATTATGGTTTTTTTTCCAGAATCTCATTTTCAATATTTCGTCGACTAGACCGCATGGATGTTAGTTCATTTCAAACTTCTAATCTAGGCTGTATTGCTGATTTATCTTTGCATACATGGTTTCCCTTCAAGGTTGGTATTATATACGGATTATAATTTGAAAATCATTTTGGGTATAATATACGGATTATAATCTATTTTATTTTTTATTACAGTTAACACATTCCTTTCAGTATGAAAGTTCAATACGGGATTTGTCGTTGCTCAACAAAATGGCACCCTTTAAAATACGAGAACATTGTGGTCCTAAATTAGCTTCACTATTACGATATTCTGTAATATTCGATGAACGCGACAATCATGTGTTTCCAACAGAAGGTGTATTAATAAGATCAGTGAATGAATATTCCGGTTTAGGTGGAAATATTGCTTATATGAGCAATAGCACACATGCCGAAGTTAGTTTTCCGATTATTGGTAGCTTAGTTGGACAACTTTGCGGTCGAGTAGGCATTATAAAAGAAACAAAAAATACAACAACTCTACCGATAAATAATTTATTTTATTGTGGAGGTCCACTAACGCTGCGTGGTTTTAAATATGGTGGTGCAGGACCAGTAGAAGAAGGAACACCAATTGGAGCACAGGTATTATTTTATTATACAATTCTTTAATCATATATTCTAACAATAATTTTGTCAAAATCAGACTTATTGGTCGGCTGGTTTACATCTTTGGGCACCTTTACCATTCAATCGAGTCTTTAAAGGATTAGGAGATAACTTTCGAACACACCTCTTCTGCAACGTTGGAAATTTCAATTCATTTTCCTTAGGTAAAATATTACACTTAATATTAAAATATTAAAATAATAATATAATTTTATTTGTTTTATATAGAACGCATGAGAGTTGCCAGCGGTTTGGGTTTAGCATTTAAATTAGGTGACCGAGCACGAATCGAATTAAATTATTGTATACCTTTAAGAAAATATGCCAACGATAGAGTTGAAAAAAACAATTTCCAATTTGGTATCGGTTATGAATTTGTTTAAATATTTTGAAATAGTATATTTTTTGGTATGTAGTGCGTATAAATTGTATATTTTTTTTGACGAAATCAATGCAAACCTAAGGCTTTTAACAAAATTGTAAATAAACTTATTTTTAATCCTAAACAATTTTTAAGCTAAATGCTTAATTATAGTTGTTTTTTTTTGTTCCATATTTTTTTAATTGTAATAAATACTTTTTTCTCTTTATTAAATTATATTTTCGTGTTCATTTTTTATTTAAAATGTAAACTTTTTTTAACTATAAATAATTAAAATAAAACAAATTGTTAGATTATGAATACATATTAGACGCATTTATAGCCCGAAACAAATGAAACGCTTATAAATAAAAATGAATTCAACAGTTTTAACCAATTTATAAATACATTGTTAAAATCTGTATGTTATATCTGATCTTATCAATTATAATAATTTTTTAGATAGATTTAGAAATATTTGTCATTGTTATTTTTTTTTTTTAGTAAGCATTTAAAAGTTGTTTAAATTGTATCTATTAATTTTACACACCATCACATAGAAAGCAATAAATAATTTTTAATTTTATAATTAAACCACAAATAAGTTTTATAGAAATAGTAGAAAAGATTATATATGGAAATATAATTGTTAACATTGGATAATTTTAAAAAATAACACAAACTGTTACTTAATAGATTTTATTTGTAATAAAATCTCTACTTTAGATAAATAAATATTTTCTTTAATTTTTAAACTTTATTTTTTATATATTATTAAAACACAATAAAGCATTTTTGGCAATATATGAAAATAAAATAAAAATTGTTTTTACGATACTAAATGCCTAAGTATTAATATAATGTATAACTATGATTTTGTAGTTTAAATGCCTAAAATAGTAAAAATGGTAAGTTCGTACGTATGATTAAAAAAAAAAGAGTTGCAATTAAAAGAGCAAGATAATTAAAAAAAAAAAAAGGAATAAAATAAACATAAGCAGAGAAACGACGCAAAGGGTAATATCACAGATATAGATTAATCGATGTATCTGGCAATACTAGTAATTTCTACATATTAAATAGACCTGCACATAATTCAGAAGAAAAAGGAAGCTGATCGAAGATTTGCAGATCTATATTGGCTTTTTGGTAAAAATTCCAGTCTGTCAATAGATAACAAACTACTAATTTACAAATTTACAAAAAACGTCTTAAACGTACACTTCCAACATACTTAAGTATTAAGTATTAAATTAACTTTAATTTAAGTATCCTTTACTTTAGTTTATGTTTATTAATTTATTATTATTATTTATGTATTTATCTTTTTATTTATTTATTTATTATTTATTTATTTATTTTTTTTATTTATTTTATTTACTTATTTATTTACTTATTTATTTACTTATATATTTATTTATCTATCTATTTATTTATTTTATTTATTTATTTATTCACTTATTTATCTAATTATTTATGAAATGTATTGAAATTTGTATGAAATATATCATTATCATTAACATGTTATCTTAAATGATGATTTAAGATAACTGAAACTTCCAAATTTTCATTTGTTAAAATATTACTAGATATCTAAGATAGTTGTAATATCAATGGAAAAACAAATTGACCTGTAAAAATGAAGGTCTTATAATAATGGTACTTTAATTGGTGATTTCTATCTTTCTACATATATTCATATCTTTAAGTGTATAGAATCCAAGTTAACACTTCTGTACACTAAGATTCCTTGATCGTTAAAGTGTGATCACACCTACTTTACAGAAGCATTAGAATGTATAGAAAAAGAACAAGAATGTTTTTTTTTAAAAAGATTTAAATAGTTATATTAAGTGAATAATATAATAATATATAATAATAATTTACATAATAATAATACATGCAATAATAATATATATAATAATATATATAATAATCATATATATAATAATAATATACATAATAAAAATATATACATAATTTATATATATAATCAATAATATAATTAAAAAACAAATAAAAAAAGTTACTCTTTAAATATTTTCAAAAATGTAAATGAAATAAATTATTTGTTATTTATAAAATTTATATTTTTTTATAATTCAATTTTATTACATATTTATTTATTTTATTATAAATTTTGTTTTTTATTATATTTTTATTATTATAACTATTATTTTACGAAATATGTTAATAATAAAATAAAATAATATAAAAAAATAAATAAAATTATTAATTTTAATTTAATATATATTTATTATTATGCGAAATAAACTGTAATAAGTCATTCATCTTTTTTAAGTGTAATCATTTATTTAATTTGAGAAAAAGAGTTTTAAAAAATAATTATATAATATATAATAAAATTATAATAAAAATTAGCTTGTGCAAATCTACAAACAAGAATAATTAGTTCTAACTTATAATAGTACAAATAAAAAAAATAATTAATAAATATATTAAAACAAAAAATTGTAATTCGAGGGTTAAAGTAGAAGTGAACCAATGATTTATTTGAGTAAACACTTCCGTGGAGTGATAAACGAAACATTTTTATAGCCCCGAGTGAAATGAAAATTGCATACAGAACACAGCAAAGTCCAAAACAACACTTAGGGCAGCAAATAAATTTCAAATTAAATAGAAGAGGAAAAACTATTTTTTAAAAACTAGCCCTTCACTGGTATTGAACCTGCGACCATTAAAATTTTCGTGCACAACTTGTACACCGCTCAACCAATTGAGCTAACGTGTATACTATTTTGATCGTGCATAATGATAAATTTGTGGTACTCACGTCATGTTGCAATAACAACGCATAAAAGCAACATGTTGCAATAAAAACTTAACAACGCATAACAGCAACATGTTGCAACAAGTCAACAACATGTCACAACAATTATCAAACTTGTTTATTGCAATTAAAAATGAACGAACATTTTATTTCACGATCGAACTTTGCGTGAACAAAATGTGAAAATGTGTTTATTTCACGATCTAACTTTGTGTGAACAAAACGCGTGGTTATTTACAATCCAACAAGTCTTCATTCAACCCGAAGATTGATACAAACATGTTTATAATAAACGATTAACAGTTAAAAGAGCAAGTTATTTATTGCACACACAAAAAAGAAATATTTAATTTCTAGAAAAAAAAGGTTAAAGTTTAAAAAGAAGAAAAAAAAAACAATTAACTTTTTAACTGGTTTTGTGATATGAACAATTATTATTTAGTACAGTTCATATATTTTCATTTTTTCGGTAATTTAAGTTTCAATTCTTCAAAAAGTATAATGAATAAGAATAAATTCTTCATATGTATATGAAAACAAAAATTATATATATATCAAAATTATATATATTTTTAAAAACTTATCAAAAATGTATCATATTTTTAATAATGAATTAACACCTGATAAATAATCAATCTTAATAATTATTAAATAATTGCTTAAAGGTCAGCTACTTATCTGAATTCTTTAAATTAACAACATTTTACGAGAAAAACTTGTGACTAAATAATCATTTGGACCTTCAGATCACGTATTTTTCTTGATATGCGTATTCTCGATATAGTAGTAGAAAATTTTTGGAAAATAGTTCAGTAATCTTCAACAAAACTCGCCACCATAAGAAGACAAGACAATCAAAATTTTTACCTTTACTTTTTTTATATTTCTATATAGCAACTACCAAAGTTAGAATTTTTATCTATCAAAATCACCTGACGGGTATTAAGTGATTTTCTTCAACTAATTTATAAAAAAATAGACTTCGTTATAGATAAACCATGTCTCCGGTGGAGTGATGCGGAGTACTAGCTGCATTTGATGTCCGAATCTGAAGAACACGCGCACGCTGCAGAGGAGCCTGGAGAGACATGCTGAACCATGCTTGTTATGGCCAAATACATAAGTAGGACTATTTTAAATATTAAACTTTATTAAAAAAGTTGTAATATATAGTCCGCCTTACATAGAGATTACATTATAGATATTGTGCAGAGATTGATTCAACTATTTGGAAAAAATTCGTAACCATTGATCCAAAATAAGAATGTTATAATTTATGAGCGGTTCGTTTATATAAAAATTACGTAGTATCAGGTATGTAAGCCAAAAGACGGATTTGAGAGGCTGAAACAACCCACGATATCAAAAGACTACATTTATCTATTCGCTATGACTAGACATTAGGTCTGTTCCACGAGCTACTCATAGTAAAACATGAGTAAAACAGAAATAAAATTTACACAAAAATACTTGAAAATTTGCTGGTGGAACGCGCTTGTGTATACACAGTGTTTACTCAAAGTTACTATGAGTAGCTCGTGGAACAGACCTATTATGTATACATATACACATAAATAATTATCAATAACTCATATACATGATTAAATAGTATTCGACATAACTTTTAAACTAAAATCCCCTCGTGAAGTAAATTTCTGGTTATGCCAGGTGTAGATATAGTATATCGGTTATGCAAATTGATACAGAAGTTTAGGAGTCTATATATTACAATAAAAAAATAACTAAATTTAAATTTAATTAGGTTGTATGGTAAATAAAAGTATAGTCGACACAACATACTTTCTGAAAGCCCTCCCTGTCATGTTAATTTCTGGTTACGGAACTGACATATGTAAATATACTATAATGATTATGTAGTTCGATACAGTGTTTTAGGAGTCCATTTGGTACAGGGTAAAAAAAAAATAACTAAATTTTAATATATAATATATTCATACATATGTACAAGGATTAGGCGATTGAAGTGTTACCAACTACACACAGGTATATTTGTTGTCATATTGCCAACTACGTGAAATTCATACCAATGCCAGCTGTTTATATTGTTTACAAGCTACCACAAGCATTTCTTCTAAGTTTTAATAGAACAAAAGCTATACCAAATGGAATTCAGACCTAATAGTGTGATTGCGTTATTTTTGGCCTATTGTTCGTGAGCTCAAACATCTTAAAGTGAATAAAATGTTTGTGTATCGTACCATAATTCGTTATAATAGTACAGGCAGCGTCGTTCTCTAATCGTTTTCATCGACCCTCTGGTGTTAAAGTCAATGCGGTTTATTATCGGGAAAATATTTTGGAAATTGGTTTAATGCT